ATTGTCATCAAAGTTTAGTGTATTAAAGTGAGTAGTTCTGATTGGAAGATTTATATATTTGGTTATTAAAAATTGTTTAATTATTGTGTGATTTGGTAGTAAAGAATGATCGTTAGGTAAGTATATGTGTGTTTCATTTAAGAAGTGATTAACTGAGAGTAGAATGTTGTTATTAAATTTTTGCTCTTTAAGATGTTCTAGAAAAGATTTAAGTGTTTGGTTTGGAGGTAGAAGTGGTAGATTAAAGTATAAAAAGAATTTATTATAGCAAGTGTTAGAGTTACAGGATTTTAAAGATGTTTAAGTAACTCTAAATTGGTTTCTTCTACAGGGTCGCTCACCGTTTTAAGCTAGGTTCTTACAGCTATGCAGGATTCTATAGTCTGCCCTGTACGTTGGGTCTAACTTCATAAAAATGGTCCTCTGCGTAAATAGGCTTAACCGCCCGCCTACTTACATCATTCTCTTCATTAAATACAACAGTTGTATCAATTAATGAAGTGGTAGCTGCATCTATAAGGTAATCATGATTAATTGATACACTTATATTAATTACTTCATATCACGTAAACAAATCAATATAAAGCTTATTCACAGTTACTATTGGTACTAAATTAAATATTGCACTTATTCTTCAAATAAAATAATAACAATATATCAACATAAAAAAAGACCTTTGTATATAGTAAACTAATCCAACTTTTTTAATAAAAATGTTTAAAAAATCTAAATACTATTATCCAAGCATCCATTGTATTATATTAATTTAGGTGTCTCATCTCTTTTATGATTACCAACTAACACCTCACTATTTCTGAAAAATTGGTCTTGATTATCATCTATCATTATAGTATTTACTGGGTCAGCTACTTGTGTATATTGAATAGTGCTTTCAAAGATAATTTTTCCTATAATGGTATCCTTGGTAAGACCAGAAACTGTTCTGAAGTACCACATAGTAGTTGTTAGTGAAGATATTGATTGGGTTGAAAACCATTAGGTTTCTTCAGTCATTTCAGCAACATAGTTATATTCTGTATTATTAAATATTTTATGTTCTTTAAACCCAGTAAGCAAATGTTTAGATAAAATCTGAGTTAATCTATTGTTTCTATCAAGAGCACTATATAAACTACACACATTTCTTTTTTTAGTTTTATCTAATTCATAACTAAAAATGGCTTTAATATTAACTAGGCACCATTTAGCATATTTTTCATGATTTTTTTTATTTGGTTCAATTGGCATGGAAGTAATTTTGATAAATGCGAAAAATCTAGCATCAGATTTATCATCTTTTATAGGAAAAGAAATAATAATTCTATTACTATGAACATAATTTTCAATATAATGTTTATACGCTTTAGTGTGTCTTTTTTTTAAAGGAGAATTAGAATTGGATGCCTTTAAATAAGAATTATAATATCTAGGTGGCGTTTCAATAAGATCAAGAATATGATTATTAACTTAAAAATGATTATATATTATTATATAAAAATATGGGCATTAATACAGAAATATAATAAAGTAAAATCATATAATTGAACATATTATTATAGAGCAAATTCTTTTATTATTAATATACTTTCAAATCCATCTTTGCATTTTAATTGTTGATAATGAAAAAGTCATGAACAAGCATTTCTAATAATTGTATTTTAAAAAGCTGATGCTTAACTCAAACAAATTGTTAAAACTATAATAATAATGTATTTTATAGAATTAACTTAAACAAAAGCTAATTACCCAAAACCGTAATAGTCCAATTTATGTATTTTAAAAATTGATACCTAAAAACTTGAACAAAAGCCATTACCAAATCTATAATAGTTAAAATTTGAACAAAGGCAAATTACCCAAAACCATAATAGTTTGATTAATGCATTGCAAAAGATTGATGCTTGAACAAAAGCCAATTATTCAATCTGTAATAGCAGAATCTTAATAACAAATCGATGCTTCTAATTAGATCCTAAACAAACCTATTTATTTATGCATACAATTGCACATCTAAATAAATATTTAATTGTTAATGAAAAACAAAAGCAATAGTAATATTGTAAGCTGGTTAGGGCTAGTCAAACTTACTGATGTGGTTAACAGAACTAAAATTATTTGTTCAGTTATTGTCTTTTAATAATTTTATTGGATAATCTGCTTATTGTTTTTCTTAATCATTTAGTTGGATGACCGTTATCATCAGCTTAAAATACTAATTGAAAAACAAGAGTTATTGTTACGAAATTTAATAGTTCAGTTTAATGTGCGGTTAACATATTTTAATGTTTGTTTTTCTAAATAATTAATTTCTTATCTCAAATCATACAATCAGAAAGAATATATATATACTATATCCATAAACAATAGCTGAGTAGTAGTAAAAATAAGCTAATTCATCCATGTAAAGATTACATTAACCGTGAATTGTGTTTGTAGCTTTGTTTGATCGAAGCATCTCGTATTTAATTCTTAATTAATATATCTAGTTTAGCTTTGTTTTAATTATTCAGTTAATAAATTGATTACTTTGTGGTTATCTCATTTCTATAAACAAAATAACAATTGTATAAATTTGAATCTCACGCACATTCTTTTTAAAATCATGAAATCATAGTATTAGTAAATCAATCATATCTATATCATGCCAAAATAACAAAGCAAAAATGGCATATAATATACATGCGATCTCAACAAAATGAAGTTCAACAAATTTATAACATCATACCTCAAATTGATTCTGAATTTCTTTCACAAATACATCAAATTATTATTAACGTAATTAATCATACAAAAGAAGAAGAGGTGTTTTAAACCATTCGTGAAATGCCAGAGCCACAAAAAAAATTGCATTAAAGCTAGTTGAGTTAATGCAAAATCTAAAAGGAAAACATAAAAATGAAATCATCTCAGTTTACTTTCAAAAGAAAGCCCTTGAATTTATCACAGATTCCAGTAATTATAAAAATTATGTCAAATCTTTAAAAACTGAGAATGCAAATCTAAAATTGGTAAACCGAAAATTATCAAAGAGTAATAAAAATCTAATACATAAGGTTCAGTCCATAAGTAGTTCAAATTGGCATCTCAACAATAAAGTGAAAAAGCGAGTTTCAACTATAAGATCATTAATATGTAAGCAAAAACAGATAACTAATGAAGAATTCAAGTGTCAAATTAATGTATTATTTAAACCAAATAATAAGGAATATTTACCCAAAATGATTTGGCTTTCCACAAAAATATCACAAATCAGGCAAACCTCATTAACCGCTACTATAGAATCATTGCACTTTGTTTATGAATTTTTGGTACATGAGCCTCCGCAAAAATGGTTAACAGTATCTACATTAAGTACTTAGCATAAAGAAGTCTCACAGATTGAAACTGAATCAATAATAAATCAAGCTACCCAAAGCTAAGGTTTTGGAATCCTTGTTGATGAATCAACTTGTGGTAATGTTAAAAATTTTGTTATGTGTATTATATTCTGGAATTATAAAAATAATATACTATCGGTTGCTACAACAAACCTTGAAAATTTACACAAATGTATTGGCCAGTCTATAGTGGACAATTTTCTTGCTACAAATACAAACCACAGACTCAATCCAAAGAAATACCTAATGTGGGTAACTGATAACACAACGTATATATCTAGTAACCATAAGAGAGTAATGGTTCTATTTAACAAAAAAGTAAATATAAATGTAATACAAATTAGTTGTGGAATGCATATAATGCATATTGTTCTAACACATTTTGAAGAGGAAGCATTTAGAAAATTACCTTCATCAATTGGTTTTTCAAGAAACTCCAAACCTTTAATTTATTATATTTAGCATAGTTATTATATGACAGGTATGGTTTGAATAACAAGGGTAAGCCTCTTAATATGAGATCAGAATATATCTAAAAACTATATGATGAATTATTAGGATTCTATTTCTCGCAGTACCAATTACCAATTAGAGAATGATGGGGTTATAAACTACGTGCTGCTAAACAATATTTAGATTAATGTGCAGCACATTTAGAATTTGCAAATTGGTTTATTAGCAAACTTAAAAATCATCATAACACACCAATATCATATCTTTTGGATTGGCAGTTGTTTAGAGAATGGCTTCTAAATGAAAAATTAAATATTCAGGTGTATTAAAATCAAATGTTAAAAAAAAATTTGATTAATCGATTTAATTAGTTGCAACTAATCAAATAATTGATTAGTTATAACTTGTCAATTAATTAATTAAGAAATTAGTTGTGACTTGTCAACTAATTAAAAAAAATTCTAATAACTTTTATCACTATATTTAGGTTCAATGTTTAGTCACATTTGGTGAACACTTCTACAAACCACTTATGCAATTCATGGTCAGAAAGAATCCAGTACCTCGCATCAAATTAGACAATTATTTGGACTAACTTCCAGCAGGTCGGCGTGCTCATAGATGCCCGACAAGACTAGTGAATGGATAAATGGATCAGTTTTTTTTATGATCTTAAAGAAAACTTTGATATATTTTTTGGAGATAAATTGTTAATGACTTTAGAAACTTTGAATGAAGATGATTTTAGTGAACTGTTTAGTAGTTTAGAAAAGAGGGTAAACAAAACATACGAACATTTTGTAAAGTGGTTGTCTCCATAGCTACATTTACCATTATCAATCTGCTATTTGGGTGGAAATTCTGCTCATGAGTTTACGCAAGCATTCTACCATGTTGTATTACAATCACTGTGGTCTTCAGAACCAACAGAATATGAAATTAAATTAGTATAGCAATTATGTAAAGATTTTAAACATTTAATAATACTTTCAGTCTTCGAGAAAAATTGGTAAATTGCTTGGAATTTAGAGTCAAGTTTCAAAATTTCTGCTTTACTCTAGATTCTAAAATTTATAAATATCTATTATTATACAAATTTGTTAAAGAGCGAATCTATTTCATTATAATCCATCAACAGCAAGTTGAAGGGCTCTTTAACAAACTAGGTTTGAAGACTTATCCAAATATGACAGCCGAATTAAAACAATCAAAATTGCGACTCTTGTCTGGCAATATAGATGAAATAATATTGCCTCAGAGCTAACAGATATTCGTATAAAATGTAAGAAGCAATCACAATAAGTCATACAAGAAAATATAAAAACTTATAGAGAAGAGGAGGCAACTAAAATGTTTTTAAATTTATTTCAAAATTAATATTTATCTTTCGAATACATAGGAAAAATGATTTACTTTTTTTTTTATTAATAAAATAAAGAAATCAATAATCATCTCAAAAAAAAAATTGATATATCATTTTGATATATGACTATACATAAATTTGATCTACATAGTACATTTAACACCCCACAGTGGCAATTATAAGTAATGAAGCAAAAAATTTTTTTTAGTTAAATTATATTATTTCACACAATTCTAGATATATTTATTTGTTTTTTTTTTATTTGATTTGTGAATAGTATCTTTTATTAATTTTAAAGATTTGATAGTTATTATTATTGCCAATGTAAAGATAATTGAGAATGTATTATGAAATACGTGATGTATTAATTTTGATCATTTTTGACAAATATCAGATGATGCCTATTGTACTACATAAATACATATGCAAATGTAGATTCTATTTCCATTCTTATATATTTGTATCACAATAAAGTGTTTGACAATGTTTTATCCAAAAAAAAATATACAACTCTAGTTCAAAAGAACCCAAGTTTTTCTTTTGCCACAAAGTAGTACACCACAAAGGTGAGAGCTTAGATATATGATATTAGCTTCTTCATGACTTTTTATGATTTTAAAAGTGGTTGGATACTACACTCATGAAGAATTAGCAAAGGTGGTTGTTTAATTGCCAAGGGCAAACCAAACTATGTAGGTATGTTAACTTGAATAATATCTTGTCAATGCTTAACTGTAGTTTAAGTATGATCAGTCCTATTTAAAAAAAAAGAAGTTATATATGTTTTAATATCTAATTATATTTTTATATTTAAAAACTGTATTTTAGTATTAAAAGTTAAATGAAAAAACTCTTATCAACGTAAATACAGCAAAATGTCAGCTCGAATTTACTAAAAAGTATAAAAAGTGGGTCATCAAAGCTAATCTTAGGTAATTAAATCTAATAGTTCAAAATTTTAAGGTTTTTTAATTGAAGTGTTCTAAAAGTTTATTAAATAATTTTTAAATTAAACTTAAATAGGATTTTGATAGAATTTGTAACGATTTATAGTTTGCATTATATTCTATTATACTAAGATCTTAGTAAGCTTGACTACAAAATGAATAATAAGTTTCATCAATAGATTTTTTGTACAAATATACAAATACTATCAGAAATTATGAATATATTATTTGCATAGTTATTTTTTTGATTAAATAATAAGAAAATTATATAATAATGATAATAAAGTGATAATTTAAAAATAATTAAATTAAGCTTTATATTAGACATTCTATTTTTTAACCTTTTTTTATTAAATTTTATTTAGATATTGGTAGACTATCTACATAGGAACTTTTCGTTTTAATTTAGAATGATAAGGGTCTTTGTGTCATGATCTAGATAACCCAACAAGAAATCAACATTGATATCTGTATTGATCTGATTCATCCCTTTTAAAAATAAAATTTGAAATGTTAGTAAAGCACTAGATAAATATACAAAATAGCAGTAATCATATATTATTAAAATAAAAAAAAAAATATATTTTTTTAGATATAAAAAAAAATTATTTTATTTTATATTCGTATTGTGTATAAAACAATCAAAAGTAATGCAGCATGGCTTTTAAAATAAAGCTTATATTTGTGAAACATTTGGCCTATTAATACTTTCTAAGATTTTTATATCCAAAAGCTATACTATTTGCGAATCAAATAAAAAAAAAACCAAATAGATACACTGGGAATTGCATGAAATAATACAATTTAACTAAAAAAATTTTTTTGCTCCATTACTTATGATCGCCACTGTATAATGAGATAAAGTTTTTTGTTGAAGCAAACTAACTCAAGTTCACTATGCACTAAATTTATTGGATAGGTGTCTCGTATCTGTGCTTTCAATTATATATTATATGTTTCCCAATTAAAAGTTAATTCAAAGAAGTGATGGATTTAATGGATGATTTTTTTTGTGGCACCCAAACATTTTAGCGTCAATAAGTTAAAAAATTGTTAAAGGGTGTTATTTTTCAGTATACTATACATTCTGTTTCATTACATGTTTGGTATATTCTTTTAAAATATTATGATTTATTCAACTTTCTAGATTGCCTCAACAGGTCGATCATAAGTTACCAAAAACAATTTATGTATATAATAATTGAACTTATCTAAAGGTACACTATGGAAAATTGTTGTATAGTCCCTGAGTAATGATATTGTAAATTATTATTGGAAGAGAATTTAGAGTTTATTGGATGTAAAGCAGCCAATAACAGGAATTTTTTAAAAAATATTCCTTTTTCTTGCTGTGAAATTTAATGTGTCAGCTTCTGGACCCAGAAGAGGGCCCAGAAATGATATATTAAATTCGCTGCCAGCTTAAACAAGTTATCCGGCATGATCTGATTATCTAATAATAAAATTATTTTGGCCAACATTGATTCCAACACCGTAACTTATCAATTCAATCATCAGAAAATTTTTTAGTTTCCAAGATTATGAAAATAATAAATGTTCATGAGCATTAATAGTGTTGGATAATACTGTAAAAATATTTTTTCCTAAAATACACAAAGAATCTTTTATACACCTGACTTCTTTAATTTGACTGGCGTATCTTAAAGGTACTATTCACTTAATATATACGATGACATGCATGATGACACATAAATGATATTAATAAGATCAACTTGTCATAATTGGGCTGGAATGGAGGGGAGACCTTTCCTCGCTCTTTTAAATTTGGCTGATGTCCGGTTCCCAATTCTGTAATTACGATCCAATGTAGAAATTTAATTAATCAGAAATTTAATCATTATGAAAAGTAAAACATTGATTAGTAATTTATTGC